AACCTTTGGGGAAAAAAACGGTAAATATGTTAGCTCACTTAACAGATGATTTAAATTTCACTTCATCCCTCAAGGAGTGTAATTGGCATAAAACAGAAGGCTCATCTGTGCTGGAAATGGTGTTGCAAATGGTGGTATTTCAACAAACTGCTTATTAAGGGCTTTACAGTAGTAATACACACTTGTCTCGAAGTTCCTCAGCATTTATAACAAGTTGACAGATACTCAGTAACTAAAGGTCATTTTATAAATAACAGATTCTTATTTTATAGTCTCAAGTACATGCTTTGAAATTGTTAGAGAGCAGATTAAACACTGAACTCCCCAGACACAAGTATCTGTTGCGTAGGATCATATATCATGTAAATGGGCTTGTTGAAACACCTGACATTTACTCGTAACACACACTGCTAGAAGTGGCAAAACCATTCAGTTCTTAGTCATTTATACATTGAATTTATATGTTGATTTATAGCTCCCAATTTCAATGAACAAAGAATACTCTGTATTATGTAACGGTTGCATGCAAATAAAATTAAATTCTGTGATCTCCATGTTCCTTAATCAGTAGGCACAAACCACTGGAAAAGCTGGAAGGACTCAGCACTGTCAAGTCTGTTCCCAGGGCAGAGCTGTGGCCACTGAAACTGCTGAAAACATTCCTAACAAAGCCAGTGGTTTTGCACCAGGTGTGTAACTTCCATGCACAAGAGCAGATCATTTACAAATGCAATTATTGTCACTTCTAACACCAGCCATTTGATTTGCATCAGTCTTTACAGCGAACTTCCCAATGCGGTTCAAAGGGGAAGAATTCCCGATACCACCATTTCTCACCGTGAGGCTCTTGGGTACCAAACACTGGCAGGTGCACCAAGCCCGTTCCAGCACCGGGTCACGGATCGGTAGGAGGTGGGTCAGGCAGTTCTGTTATCACAGAAGCCCTGCAAAACCTGTGTTGCTGCACCTATACCCTCCAGCAGGAAGAATTTACCTGGAGACCCTTTCCCAGAGGTCTGAAAATCAACAGTTAAGCAGGATGGCACACAGAGACTTCTTTTGCCTTAGAATGGGAGATGCCTTTTACAGCGATTCAGCAGAGCAGTACCCTCTGTGTGTTTATACTTGGAGTAAATCAGTCTGCTAAGATTCAGCCCTTCCTCTGCTATTACTTTGGCTATAGAGAGTAAAATTAAAATAGATAATAACAGGCAGGGAAAGGCATGGTATTGCTCCTTCATTAATTGTTCAATATTTTTACCTAGAAGCCAGTGAAAACTTGGCCACTGCCTCATCGGTAAATAACCAGCCTCTCATAAATACATACCAAGATGAAGAAATAGAAAGTCCACTAATAATTCAAAAAGATTAAAGTCCAAATAGCTGAGAAATGAAACTCCTTCATAAATCCCACCTTCAGTATGTTAAATTATTAATTTATTTTTAAGCAAGAAACATCACATTCTAATAGCTCTTGCTGGACAGCCAGTTAAAAAAGCATAAACCAACATCAAAGAAATAATAAAACACTGAAAGAATGACATTTTTATTTGTTCTTTTTAAGATGTCTAACTTTGTATTTTGCATATCAAAACTGGTAATTTCTAATGAGACAGGTTTCTGAAAATTGTTTGCTTCTTGACAAGACTTCAGCTCATGCCTTTTCCAGCTATCTAAAACTTCAGCTCCCTCCAACTCCTACCAGCGGCCAGGCGATCACATAAAGTGTTATCACAGATAAGGTTTAGCCAAATTAACCAGTCAATTTTATCACTCTCTTAGTTCTAGAAGTGCCAAATGAATCTAAGATCAACAAAATACAAAGGATCTTTCTTAATGGATAAGCGGAACGGAGAGAGGTCTTTTAAGGGCGGTAGGTGCTTTTCAGTGTTAGTTGTATAACAGCAATCTGTACCAACACACACAGAAAGAACACAGCTTATAACTTTGTACTCGTTTCTAAAGTGATCATAGCTATTTTTCATTATAAGGTGATTAGTATCTTTTTTCTAAGCAACTCTTTTGCCATTTGAAATAGCACGCTGCTTGTAGGTTTTAAGTAATTTTGATGGATACTTTCCTCTGTTCATCATCCATCAAACCCTGTGTAAAATTCCCCACAAAAAGTATCCTGTATCTTAAAAAAATAAAATTAAAGAAAAAGCATCTTTGTCACTCTACCCTTCTGTGGACAGGATGACAAGCCCATTGTCTTCCTCAACTTTACTGTCATTAACCACCCTTGTAAATCAAAGAATTTCACTATTGCATGGTGGTGGTGGTGTTGCAAAGCTGTGGGGCCACCCGTGCCCACCACTTGCCTAAGCACTGCTCAGGTCACAGCGTACCTTACTACTAGCACTGGCTGTCTTAAAGCCAGCAGTCTTTAAAGATGTTTCATTCCTATTTTGGAATTTTGGCTTTTGTAAGAGTTGTTCTAAGCAAGAATACAAACATTGTACAAAATACAAGCTACCGTTAGGAATGAAAGAAAAAAGTTGTTGGATTTACTAGAATAAAATTGACTGTGGATGTAATGATGTTTGCCTTCACCTCCAGCTCACCTTAGGTCTCATTATAAGCTTAAATTTTTCACATCAAATAGCACTTTTTCATTATAAATTAATTTAGCCTCTAGAAATGTGCATCATCTAGGTACATACATGAGTAGACAGGTGCAAAACAAGTATTCTAACTAGTTTCATTGAACTAACAAGTTTCATTGAATGTGTTGATAAAAATAACTGTGCTCTAAATTGCAGTACTTGAAATAAATTTGAAGCAGCTTGGATATTGACTGGAAAGTAGGCACACATGTACCAGCAGTCAAGGAGTGGAAACAAACTCTGTTGTCAACACCCAAACATTGCTTTTTGGTATTAAAACTGAGTAGATCTAGTGATGCAAATTACTGGTTACTGTACATCTGATGGAAGTGCGACAGAATACATCCTTATGCTCTAAACTCTGGAGTTGGATTAGATTTTTACACATTTGAAGTTTAAAAAGAAAAAAGCTTTAGGCATGTGTGAATGGTAGTACCAGAAACAATTTTCAAGCTTCCTGCATGCACACCCCATCCGCTTCCCACTTTGATGCTGGGGCAAGACCTAGGTACATAGCAGGCCAGAAGGGAGCTGCCATTCTCCCCAACCATGCCCTTGAAGCACCAAGAACCAGGACTTGCAAACCCCAGCCCTGCAGTCTGGATGTCATCTCTGCCCTTCGATCCTGTTTGGATTAGGCCCTTGAGGCTAAACGATGCTCCTACAGCACAGGCAATGGAGGTTGGGGCGGCCAGAGGAAAATGTTGCAAAGCAACCGTAAGCGTTCCTTACACAGGAGTCTTGCAATTGAACTTTTAATGGAAATGAGCAACCTGCAACCTAAAATCCTAGCAAAGAACTGGGAGGAGAGGTAAGGGAGAGAGAAGCAGGCTGCTCCCCAAATTGCCCCCCCCGTTAGGATCCAGGAGCATAGCTTTGGCAAACAGCATGTTGTTACAACTTGAGACAGATGGAAATGTGCTTACTTGTCAAAGCTGTTATCCCCCAAGAGGAAAGAAATTATGTTGTCTTGAACACGCTGTGGGTAACAGACAGGGAAAGGTCCAGAAATAGAACAAAACTAATAATACAAAACTAGGTTTGGAATATGAAATGAAAGCTGTCTTTTGCACAGAAAGGGGTG